TTATATATGAATGTATATATATCTATATATATTCTCGGAAATATTTCCAATGTAGATTATATCTTAAGATCTGACAATGGAACAAATATTAGGAATAGGAATAAATATTAAATTTAAAAAATGAAAATTCGGAATAAAAATTAAATGTAATGCGCAATGAATATAAGTAAGTATAAAGTATAGTTATATGTTATACTTGTATTCATTGTGCGTTACGTTAAATTTTGATTTCTAAAATTTAACATCTATTCCTAATATTTCCTCCATTGTGCATAGAATCTTAGAAGTAGAAAGAATGTTTCTAATCAATTGTTTTCATAGTACATATCGACTTTAATTTGTATCTTCCCCTCGAGAAAATTTAATAGAATTGTTTATATATGGCTATTTAATATTATTATGTGCTACGCTATTACTTATTTAAAGTTTTGTCTTCGATAAAAAAATCCATTTGAAGCGCATATCTCTTTTAATTTTAGCTTATCATTTGTTTCGAACACAATTCAAGTCAACACACGAAGATTGTTGTAACAATATTTGTTAAATGTATCGTCATCTTCACAAACTTCTTCAATCAAAAAGTTAACATATGTAATAATACTCGGAGAAATAATAGGAAGTTTTTGAAACAAAAATTATTTGCAGATTATTAATACAATACATTTCTGTTTATTCTGGTTCTTAGAATAATTTCGAACAAGCTGCAATTAACTTATCGAATAATATTCCTATTATTTTATTAATTTTTTTCTTGTTTAATTTTCGTGGAGAGATAGATTAGGAACAACGAATTGTACAGTTAGAAACTTTGCGGTGAACAATTCTGCCGGTTTAATGGCCGATTAAGTTGCTTCAAGCTTGATCGACATTCTCTTTATTTATCTTTAATCATTTTTATTAAGGAAAATCTTAAAAAACCTTTGAATCATTATTTTATTATTTTAGTTTTCTAGGTACGAAATAACGATGAGACTCGCCGTGTGTGTCGTTTTCACGCTGGTGCTTGGCGTATCAGCCATAAGTGAGTATAAATAATTTAATTCACTCGCCAATACCCTTCAAATTATGGCCAACCGTACAACTAAAATCTCTTAGTCTATTATGCTGCGAATTGCAATGAATGAATCTTGCCATTAAAATTGTGATTTTTTATTTTCAATTATAGTACATGTCCCGGATGATGTAGAAGGTGAAATATTGTTATGGAAACAATCATGTTTTTTATAATCATGCTTTCCATTGCAATTATATCTTTCATTCTGAACACCACAGAATAAATTTTCTACATGCGGCTGCTGTGTTTTATGTGTATTCACATATCTACATACATACATACATATGTTTGTTTAGATTATACATATTTCTTAATATTTATCTATTTTACATAATCGTACTAGACATATGTATAGATTATGTGACTGTTAAAGAACATGAGAAACGTGAGACATTCTCTAAATCATTTACATGTGTATGTCTCATTATCATATACTTGTATTATTTTATATACACAATACAACACACACACACACACACACATAACATAACTTTGAACAAATTTAGAATATATTATTTTTATAGAACTCAGACTCGCTACTTTTAAAATTCTTGTATATATTTATGCATATACTCTTTAAAGAACACATTAGCCTTTTTTTATGAATCTATCATTTTCTTTATATTTTCTTAATGTGATACATTTATTTTGATTAAATTATAGTAAGCTGCGATTGACTTACTATAATTAAATTAAAACTCATCAAGATTATTTGCTCTAGCAGAGTCATTGCATTGAACATAAATTATAAATGTTTGTATGTTTTTCTTTTAATTGCTCTTTGTCCCAATAATTCTATATATAATTTTTTTGTTTATTAGTTCAATCGCCGCCACGAATATCTAAACAACCGCCAACGGATGAGCAGCTATTTCAAGTGGTTCAAGCAAAAGTCAACGAGAATGATAAACCATTCCTAATTGAATGTGAAGCGGAAGGAGAGCCAGTTCCAACGTACGTATCTGATTGTTCCTTTTTTCTTCCATTTCTTTTTTGAGTTTATTATATGTAAAATATATATTATCATATCTTTAAGTCAGATTATAAAATCCGTCCCTAAGACTATCTGTCGGTATTATTAGAATCTACAAGGTATCAAGGAAATAGCTATTATGTAAATATAATTTGTGACACTTATTAAGTTGTTCAAGAACGGAAAATGTACTTTGGGGATATTTCATTCATAAAGTTTCATCACATTGTCGAGTTCATCTTGTACAGCATACAGAAGCCGGTGCAACTAGTCTATCTTAATTACAAAGATGATCTCATAACTTTAGGATGTGTGAAATAATCATCACTAATACGGATGTTTGACTTGTCTGACCGTAGAGGCACGCGTTCGCAAAATTTCTTATAAATATTATAAAACATAAATTACTTTATAGGTTTTATTTATAAAAATGAATTTCTAGATAAAAGTAAATTATAAAATTTAAATTTATATTACATTGCATGTGTTATGTCAATTTTAGATCTTGATAATTTATCATGCCCAAATATAAGCATACATATTATTATATATATATATTTTTTTTAATTTTGTTTGTATTACATCTTAGAAAAGATTTTGATTTACGATGTTACATAGATACCGTTGGATTAAAAATGGAAAAAACTTCGAATGGCCGGCGTACGATGATCGCATTTCTCAACAGCCGGGTAGAGGTACCCTGGTAATCTCAAGACCGAGAGATGAAGATCTAGGACAATACCAGTGTTTCGCTGAGAATGAATGGGGCATAGCAACATCAAACTCAGTGTTCGTTCGAAAGGCCGAATTAAATTCGTTCAAAGATGAAAACCCGTTAACTTTGAATGCGAACGAGGGTTCCCCGTTCAAGCTTACCTGCCAACCACCCGATGGCTGGCCTAAGCCAAACGTTTATTGGTTAATTCAGGATATCGCTGGTGGTATTAAATCAATTAATAATTCGAGGATGACTCTGGATCCAGAGGGTAATCTTTGGTTCAGCAACGTCACAAGAAACGACGCTTCAGATGACTTTTACTATGCCTGTGCCGCCACGTCTGTGTTCAGAAACGAATACAAATTAGGCAATAAGGTTTTGTTAAACGTAATTTCTACAGGTGCGTCTGCCGGTCAAAATAAACATCCTCCCGAAAGACAATATGTCACTAGGAAAAACGAGGTAGCACTGCGCGGCAAGAAGGTAGAGCTGTACTGCATATACGGAGGAACGCCTTTACCACAGATAGTTTGGAGCAAGAATGGTCAATTGATCAGACCGAGCGACAGAATAATTCAAGGAAATTACGGCAAGTCTCTCATTATAAAACATGTAAATTTCGAGGACGAAGGACAGTACACTTGTGAGGCGTCAAACGGAGTTGGAGCAGCCCAGTCATATTCCATAAATTTGCAAGTAATGGCCGTGCCATATTTCACCATTGAGCCAGAATTCGTCAACGCCGCAGAGGACGAGACTGTGACGATCACATGCGAAGCTAGCGGAGTGCCTGTTCCCGAGATCAAGTGGATCCACAACGGCAAACCGATATCCGAAGCGCCGCCAAATAGCAGAAGAAAAGTCACACCGAACTCCATTATAATAGAGAAGCTGATAAAAAACGACACAGGCAATTATGGATGCAATGCTACCAATTCGTTGGGATATGTTTACAAGGATGTATACGTGAACGTGTTGGCGCTTTATCCAGATATCACACAACCGCCTTCGAACTTGAGCACGGTCGATGGCAAAACTGTTCGGATTACGTGCCGCATTTTCGGCGCTCCTAAGCCCGAGATCAAATGGATCAAGAACGGACAAGAATTGACCGGAGGTCGTTACAGAACTTTGAATACAGGCGATTTAGAAATCGAGAATGTGATATTCTTAGATGCTGGTACTTACACGTGTCATGGCTCCAACAAATTCGGCGAGGTGAATGCATCCGCCACCTTAGTAGTGAAAGAACATACCAGAATAACGGATCAGCCAGAAGATTATGAAGTTGCTGCGGGCTCCACTGCCACATTCAGGTAAAGTTTCATCAAGAGGAAGTGAAACTTCGATAGAAATAAAAATAAATTTATAATTTTCTGTATAATATGTTATAATGTAGTTATATGATATGTGTTGTAATGTGAAATCTCGCTTAATTTCTTTTTCATATTTTAGATGTAATGCTGTTACCGATCCTAGTCTAGCTCTGACTATAGACTGGTTGAGCAACGGCGAACCAATAGACTTCGAGATGGAACCGAGATTTGTACGAAGTACCGATTATTCTCTGATGATAACAAAAACGACCGAATTGGATTCCGGTACTTACACATGCGTCGCTCGCACCGAACTCGACGAGGCAAGAGCGCAAGCGACACTGATAGTTCAGGATGTACCTAATGCACCAAGTTTAATCAGCATCAAATGCGAGTCTACCAGGGCCTTTGTTCACTGGACACCTATGGGAGATAACAGATCTCCCATTCTACGTTACACAATTCAACACAACACCAGCTTTACGCCGGATACCTGGGAGATATCCAAAGATTATGTCCCAGCTACTGACCAAACGTATGAAGTGCCTATGTCACCCTGGGCTAATTATACATTCCGCGTTCTTGCATGGAATAAGATAGGTGAGACTTATTTTTCAAAATTAAAACATTTCTTAAAATTTGTATAATATATAATTTAAAGTGGTATTACGCGATTTTTTAATCAATTTTTTTATTGCTGTGGTTATTAATTTTTTCTAAAATAAATATATTATACTGATGTGTTGTTTTCTAATATAGGCACATCTCTGCCGTCATCATTTAGCGAGGTTTGTACCACTTTACCGGATGTCCCTTACACAAATCCAGATAATGTCATGGGTAAGGGCACCACACCGCAAAATTTGGTTATTTCGTGGACAATCATGCCGCAGATAGAACACAATGCCCCTAGATTTATGTACAGGGTATATTATAAGAGAGACATACCAGGCGAGAAGTGGATCATACAGGATATAAATGATTGGAAGAAGAATATTCTGGTAGTCGAGAATCAGCCTACTTATCAGAGATACAAAATTAAAGTTGTCGCCATAAATGAGAGGGGAGAAAGTACAGCTCCGGCTGATGAAGTTATCGGATACTCTGGAGAAGATGGTAATATCTGCTGATAAAATAATTGTTTAGTTTTATTATTAAAATAATAAAATTTATTATTAAATAATAAATTAATTATTAAATATATAGTAATTT